AGCACCTTTTGTAAATAGTTGTATAACCTTTGCTTTAGTTTCATTGTAAATACTGAGCACTGCAGCAGATCCAGTAGGAGTGAGGAGGCCTTTTTTGTTGAACCCTTTTCCACGTTTTCATAGGAGAGTAGGTTAGAAATGGTCTTGTTTGCTTTTGTTTTAATAGGGAAGCTTTTTGTCGTCTGTTGTGTTGTTGGTGGGTTTTGTTTTGTCTTTTTTCACGGCTCACGTCTGAAGTAAATAATTTGCTGCTAGCTCCTTCAATTACCTTATTGCTGGCATTTCTGAGGAGTGGTTGGAGTGGGAAGCTTCATGTTCAGTCCCTGTTACCCCTATGCCGGGTCGTAACAGAGAGAGCCAGAGAGTAGTCCAGTGTCTGCACATGTATCTTTGGTGGATAACAAGTGTGAGCTGACAGCCTGATTACAGTTGTGCACGTCTGGGCACAACTGTAATCAGGTGTTGTGTTACTCCTGTGCGTTACAGGTCAAAGTTACACTAACTGAGGACTTTTGCTGTCATGTTGACAATGACAAGGCTGCCTCCCAGTGGCCCCTAGAAGTACTGCTTTACAAGGAGAGAACGCTGCAGGAAACTTGGAGCAGCCACAGATGTGCGCCAGTGCACATGCTGCAGAGCAAGAACTAGTTCATGATGCAGTTTTTGTGATCATAAGAGACAATTTAAGGACTGCTTCGTGTTATACAAAGTGGTTTTCGCCACAGTGTGGTGGTGTAGGCGTTCAGTTAGCAAGTGAAAGGTTGCTGCTTGAGTGCAGCCGAACAGACTGTGACAGAAATAGCATGTAGTGTCTAAAAATCCAAGTCAAGCCTGCTGAACTCTCTGTAGTCACCGCCTGCAGCAAGGCAGCTGTTACTTATTACAATCATAGTCCTTTAATATACCAAAAAGTAATGAACAAGACAGTACTGACAAAGTAGTCCTGCTTTGAATTACTTTCAACTTTTGATTTACTAATGTACAATTTTTTCTTTCAAAATTTTGCAAAAGTGTGAATGACTGAAAACACGTATCAGCAAATGTTTTAGACGTAACGTTTAAACTCATCTGGAAAGACAAACTTCACTCCAGCTGTTACTACAGGGTAGAAAGACGAGCAGCTGCAGAAATCCTGATGAAAATGTAGGGACAGAAAGAACTCTTAAACAAAACAGAGGTTTGTTAAAATGTCATTTATTCACTGTTGATTGACAGCAGGTCAAAGGTGAGACAGGTCAGGATATTGTTCGACTCGGTCTGGTTGGGTGAGGGTTCAACTCCACACAAAAAGAAGCCATTTTTACCCTCAGTAAATATGAAGCAACTATTTTGAGTCATGAAACTGAAAAATATCACATCTAATTTTTTCTAGTTCAAATCCTTCATCTTTAATGAAATCGTAACAGTTTAGCCTTAATCTGAACATACTACATAGTACGTGGAAAATTCACATGTGGTTAAAGTTTCAGTGGAAGGTGGTCAAACTGACTCCCCGCGCCCCTGCTCTCTACTGGGAAAACCTCACTTATCACACTCTCTGCTTATTCCTGGTGATAAAGAAGAGGAGGCACATTTGGACTACAGTCAAGGTGTGTGAGAGCTGTGACAGGATGAGATTAGCTACAGGTGCCTCCATCACTGCAGGGAGCACGTCTGCTTGCACAGGTTCAGCTCTCAGCCTGACTATTAAGACAACCAATAATATATGACAATTAACACCTGACTATTCGGTATGTCGGTGAAGAAGAAAGGAATGAGGGTGGAAACAGGAAAACACAACAGCTGAGGCATCTGCCCCCCTAATGTACAGACCTATACAC